CTCCAGTACATGCCCTAAGTAACAACAGCTCACACTGAGGATCATCGAGCATAACGACCTTATCCATAAAGACAATGGTCTTGGTCACCCTCTGCATCACAAGCTCACCACTAAAACCAGAATCGGAACTAGCGGGACCTCCAAGCAACCTAACACCACGCAAAGGTCGAGCAATATTAGGTGGAAAGACACCCACCAGCCTGCTTCGAGGGTCTTCTGTAGGCCATAAAACTTCAGTTTTTTCCACATTAAGACATAACCCAGAACGAGGTCCTTCCTCCATAATCAACTGCAGAACTTGCCCCACCACCAAAGTGTCACCAATAATCGTGCCGTCATCTAAATACCAAGCCTGAAGACATACATCAAAAGTCTCTCTGATTTTACACACCAGGGGTTGTAAAACCAAAGAAAAAAAGCAAAGGACCAAGGGGATCACCCTGCTGCACCCCTTGAGATGACCATAAGGTTTGGTCCCCATAGTACAACCTGGCTAGATTAGAATAGCAGAATTCTACCCATCGCGAAATGCCCGGACAACGACGACGTACCTCACGTAACATGACCGAACGATCAACCAGATTGAAGGCATTTTGAAAATCCACCAAAAACATAGATAAACCAACATCAGAACCACGGTCCTCAATCAACCGATTCACCGCATGAAGAATTGCCTCACCACCTGAAGAAACCCCAACACCAAATTGAAGGCCATCAAAGTAACTCCCTAAAGACTGACCAACCATAACAGCACCCACCTTCGAAACGAGACGCCGCCAAACCGTACCCATAGCAATAGGACGGATACCACCACCGGGCTTGACAAGTGGCGTAAGAGAAGCACTAGCAATGTACTCTCCTAATTCCATAGGACATCTCCCAGCTAGAAAGAGATTAACCACCCCAGTAATAGAGTCAATTTAACTCATCTGATACTGCCACAACCGCACCACTCAAGCAATCCATAAGATGTTGAGCACGCAAACCATCCCTACCACATGATGTGCCACGAGGGAAACTCCTAATCCGATCCAAAACAACATCATAAGTCGTAACGAGATGAAGGTGATCAATAGGTATATCAGGCAAGGATGGAGATGGAGATGAAGGGTGCTTTGACTGTAAATCTGCAAGAATGGCGTCATTATAAGGTGCAACGCCTGCTAAAGAAAGAACCCGAACCGCAGCAGTGTAATGGCCCATCGCAAATCTTCCTACGACACTGCTTAATATTACACTCTTCCAAATCAATGTCCTCATCATCAACCATCGACAAAGTAGGAGAATCCTCTGCCAAAATTTCCCTCACAAGCTGCAAATTACCACCCGCTACACTCCAAGAACAAATAGCACGGGAAATACTCTCTTCTTGATGCCGACGTCTTACCGAAGATCGAGACTCACGACTACTCCGCGGGCGAAAGATTTTAAGGATGCAAAGAGGTAACACCAACAAAGAGACCCAATTAGAAATGTCATCAGGCTTAGAGATCACCTTATCAAGAGCACCTTTCAGAACCCGAGAAAACCCCAAACGACATTTGGGAGGGATAGACTTAACAGAGCGAAACCCCTTAGAGAATAAACAATCAAGGAGGGCCACATCAAAACCACCGTTATGATCTTGCACCAATCCATCCATACGATCAACTCGAGCAGGAGAAGAAGGAGATTGTGGCTTGGTGAAATTATGAAGCACAAAACGAACAACACCATCTCCTTCATCAGGGGGTGACACATCCTCATCCCCACGATGACGACACTTAATACGTACCGTGTGCGTTTTATAGCAAACTCCACATAACCAAATCCCCATACGCCTAAAAGTAACTTCTGCCTCATTATAAACAGCCAAATTAGAAGTAAGAGAATGTCGAGTGATATCTCGCGCACCGATACAACAATGACGATCACTAAGATGTTTGATTAGAGAACGTCGAGTAAGGCCATTTCCACTCCCATCTTGACAACCACTAAGACCCACAAAGGGACAATGAAACTTCACAACGGTAGCCGACATAGCTGACTTGCACCACCCAAAACTGAAATAAGCCCGAAAGAGCACCAGAAACTGCCGCAAAACAGCTCCAAAACAGCACCCAAGAGCTGCCAAAACTGGACCAAAAACTGCACCAGAAACTGCACCCAAAACAGCACACAAAACTGCTCCAAAACTGCTCCAAAACAGCACCCAAAACTGGTCCAAAACAGCACACAAAACTGCTCCAAAACAGCACCCAAAACTGCTCCAAAGCAGCACCCAAAAACTGCTCCAAAACAGCCCCTAATATCGAAAATCGCTGGAAATATTGATCACCGAAACCCAAAATAGAAACCAACAAAGAACCTCCTCTAACTGACCAAAAACAACACCAATATTCGCGAGAAAAGATGCCCTCAAAATGACCCAATAACAGCTTGAAATTGCACCCAAAACGCACCCAAAAACAGAGCAAAACCACGCTTGAAAACACAGAAGAATTGCACCCAAAACCGCAGCCTGAAAACTGACCAAAACAACCCAAAAAATACCAAAAATAAACGCACCCTAAAGACGCTTGAAGCAGCCCGAAAACCCAAGGAAAACAGCGTGATAATTCGCCAGAAAATTGATCAAGAAACCACCCTCAAAAGCTGCCTGAAAACCACCCGAGAAACCACCTGAAATCCACCCAAAATCCGCCTGAAATACCCCTGACTGAAAACCGCCCACCTGATCACACCTTACGCCAGAGATGATGCCGGAAAAAGGACTCGGAACTGCACCCAAACAGCCTGGAAAATCGCCCCTTAAACGCCTGAATTTCTGCCTGAAACCGCCTGAAAACAAAGCCACCACCGAGAATCTTCGCCGGACCTGCTAGGAAGATGAAACCACCGCCACAAGCTGCCTGAATTATTATTATTATTATTTGGTTAGTTGTAGGATTTTAGTGATGGTTTAGGACCGTGCGATTCGTTTTTTCTTTTTTTAATTAAAAAATATTATTATTATTATTATTATTATTATTATTATTATTATTATTATTATTATTATTATTATTATTATTATCGCATTTTTATTATAATCATTAAATATTATTATTAAATATTATTTATAATAATAATAATTATTATTATTACTGTTATTATTATAATAATTCTTATTAAATATTAAATATTTATTATTATCAGTATTAAATATTAACAGATTATTATTATTATTATTATTAAAAATTAATAATTATTATCTTTAAATATTAGTTATTATCTTTTAAATATTTATTTTTATTATAGAAAATCAATTATTATTATTAAATAATATTTGTTATTATTATCATTATTATTGTTACTATTTTTATTACTTCTTTTTTTACTATTAAATATCAATTATTATAATTATTAAATATTAATTATTTATTATTATTATTAAATATTAATTATTATTATTATTATAATAATTCAATATTAATTATTATTTTTAAGCAGAGCAAGACTTAGCAGAGCAGAGCTGAACTCTAAAGCACAGGGCCTAAAAGAGTGTGAACTTTGACCGTCTTAGTTGGTTTAAGTGTTGGGGTGGTATTTGAGATCAAATCCGTCTAAATCATTCCTCTTGCTACTATCTCTACACCAAGATTCATTTTTGCTTTGATGATTGGTACTAATGTAAATGTGGTTGGTATAAATAACATGTAGATCGGTATATCAGTTGGTTGAAACATGTGATGGCAGTCACTTTTTCACTCTTTTTCCCCCATTTCTAATGCGTAGTATATGCCATGGATGTGTTTGCAAATAAAAAAAAATTATGGGGTACTTGCCTAATAGTTAATACTTTTTTTTTTTTTTTGAATAGATAGTTAATACTTCCTCGTTTAGGCTTAAGTTAGTAATAAGCTAATGACTATGCAACATCCTATTCTAGGATTGAAATCAAAAGATGATGAATAGTACAATAAATTATTGTCAACTAAAAAAGTTCCGATGCCGGGAATCGAACCCGGGTCTCCTGGGTGAAAGCCAGATATCCTAACCGCTGGACGACATCGGATTGTTGAACGCTAAGCGTACCACTAATTATTTAAAGTATACACATTTTTTCATTAACATAAGAGGATGTCTGATGTAGATGCAAGATGTGGGTGATTGATGTTTGTAGTCCGGCACAAGTTTTAGAAGTAACATCAGAGAAAATGTTGATGCTTATAAGCCATGAAAGATGTGCCATTCAGCCATCGTGCATTTGTGCAATCGCCCCTGATAAGTGAAAGAAGAAAGAATAAACAATGGAGTTACTCAAGTAGCCCAACTATGACAGCTAATAATGCCGATGAAGGCCAAATAGGGACTGTTTCGTGTTCCTGCTCAATAGAAAATCAAGCTGTCGAAGGAATGACAAAAAAAATCCTGTGATCAACATTTGAAGGGAACGAAGAAAGTTCGCTCTGTAATCTGTATGCAGTAATATCAACATACACCTTAAGAGGATTAATTATGAAATTCATGATGCAGTTGACCCATTTACAGAATACTACAAAGCCAAATAATAGCATGTCAACCATCAATAGTGACAGTCCTCGAAATTTATCCATTGATAAAACACCGGTAGCATGTATAAAAGTGTTTTGTAATAGAACCTGCATAGGAGCCATAGCTATAATCGCTATGCTACCCAAACATCCTGTATCAAATCGCGACTGATTGCAATATTATGAGCAATCAACTTACCCAGCAGATTTAAAGATAGAACTTGCATTAAGTAGAATATCAGAGTTACAAGCTTATAACAAGTGCAGATGAATTTGGAGCGAATCAAATTATAGATTCAGCAGTTCCAAAATGATAGATCTCTTTTAAATTTAGTCATAGTACATTAATTCTCAAACTTTCTTATTCTGTTGTGAAATAATTACTGGTTCATTATACACTTAAGAGCACGATACACACCATTGTCACAATCTAACAACAACCAATACACCAAAAATCAATCAAAACGAGGACAACAATAATAACTCCGGTAAGGCAGTAAATAAACCTGATCATATTTATCAATTTATATATAAACATGTTCAAAATTGTTGCATTAATAAACAAATAAAAATCTCGAGAAATACAAATCTCCTTCCAACAAAAAAAACCCCAAAATAACCCAAAAAAAAAAAAAAAAAAAAAAAAAAAACCCTAGAATTGCAATTTATCAGTGCCGGAAACAGAAACACCAGTCTTTTTAACAGAATCAAAAAGAGGAATAACAAGCTTGCGATGATGATGAGGACGAGAAAGCTCCTCATGAATATCAATCTCAACAAAAGAAACCCCAATTTCCTTCAATCGAAACCCTAATTTCTCACCAACACGAGATGCGATTCGAGCGTCCCAGTAATTCTGCGATCGAGGAAATCGATTGAGATTGGTGCGATAATGGGAGACGAATTCTTGCTCGGAGGAAGAAGCCATGGCAATGATGGAATCCGTCGCCGGATTTGTCACCTGAGCTGAGATTTTCCGGCAACTCACGAGTAATCGAAGCAGATGTTGCGGGGTTCTTGCGGTAGACATTGGAAATTTTTGGTGGGGGTCCACTGCGGCTGGGAGTTTTGGGATACGAAGGAAAGGGAGGGAATGGAATTAGGTAGAACCGTAAAAGTGGTGAGTTGAAGAGGGGAATCGATCTCGGGTGAGTCGATTATAATATCATTGCCATGATATGAGTACAGTTGTATAGGAGGAGGTCAGGAGGGGTGGAAGCTCAAGATTAAACTTCCCGTTTATCTCCTCTCACAATTTTATGCATTTGTTTTGTTAGGTTATTAAAAAGTTTTACTCCGTATTGTTAAAAATGAAGAAAAAGATTGTATTGTGAGAAGATATGTTCACGGGTTTATATCAAAGATAAACTTGGATTTTCTCGTTGTGTGGTAGCTTGGCAAATTTTTACCAAAAAAAAGTTTGGGAAAATTCAAGTTTATGTACCGGTTACTCTTAAAAAAAATAAGTCCATCAGATGGTAAATAATAGGTGAGGTTGTTGAGGATTATAAAAGAATAGTTATGACCTCCCTACTCAGTACTCACTCTTAGTTACAACTCTTACAAAACTAGTTAAATGTTTAAGTATATTACAGTAATTTGTGCACGCTTTGACAACATCCACAATATCGCTAGTCTTATGTAGCTGCAACTTGTACATATACACGGCTGAAATTCTACTAGATTGATGAAGGTATAAGCTACTGCATACCTAAATATAACCACATTTGGCAAACTTTTGCTACAACAATGGTCTTGTATTACAGGCGGCGTCCATAACCGGCCCCTTGTAAATTATTAGTTCTTGTATTTCCTCTAATGTTCGGCCCTTTGTCTCTGGGACTAGCTTTGCAACAAATATCACGGAGATTGCATTAACACTTGCAAACACCAAAAACGTGCCTGAAAGTAAAATCAAGAAAAATGAGGGTTTGTACACTTAAAACAATAGAAAAGAGAGGAAGAAAGATATACCCGAAGAGCTCCATTGCATCATAAAAATAAATGTGTAGGTAACGATCCAGGAACTTGTGCTGCTGACTACAGTTGCTAAGGTTCCGGCTGCTCCTTTTATGTTTATAGGGAATACCTGAGAACACATAGTACTTTTGTTTTAAGAAAATGTCATAAAACTAATTAAGGATGCTGCCTCAATGAAAATACACATACCTCTGACATTATAACACATGGTATCCCTCCCATTCCTATTGGAAAAGATGCAGAAAAAATCTGGAGTAAAACACGCTAAGAATTAAGATATACTCCCTATATATTAACTGTATAGCTTTAGTGTCACAGGTTGAGGGAAAATATATATGGAATAAGGGAAAGTATTTTCTGAAGAAAGTCTATTTGCCTAGCTCATTAGGCAACTATTAGGAGGCGAAATGTCCTAAATGTGTCTTATGCAGTAGTTAGGCTTAAGAGTATTATTGACAATGCTCCAGCTAGTTGCCTAAGTAATGTAGGCAATCAGCTTGATATTGGAAGGAAAGACCGTGTACCAATATTCCGACAAGGGCAAGATAGGGACCGGTGTCCATCATCAAACCATGTGCCTGATCAGCAAACACATTTATGTCAGAAAGGGGTCAGAAAGCCGGACCTTGGAGACACTGAAGTTCATGTCAAAGTAGAAATAATACAGCAATATGCTTGTGGGTGTGGAACATACCTTAAACAAGAAAGATAATGCCACCAAGAAGCAGGCTATGCCCATCCCTCCTGCAGAAAACTACAAACACACAAACATTATGTTACATGTTGTCTTCTGTGATCAACCAATTGGTACGCCAAACAAAACAAGTTTAGTGGAAGGCTTATTAAGATTGATTAATAGCTTACCAGCAATAGTGGCCGTCTTCCATATTTATCCATAAAAAATACACATAGCGCAAATGGTGGAAGCTGCAGAGAGATTGAGGTTTTCATATAGTTTTCAGAGAAAAGTTGGAGAAAAACTCTGAAATCAGAAATCAGAAATCAGATTTTGTTTGCTATTGTATACGAAGTATATAATTAAACCTGGATAAGGCCCATAGCTATAGTTCCTATACTTCCTGGAACTCCTGGTAAAATTAAACACAAAAAAATGTCAGCCTGCGATCAACTGTATCATATATTTCCAAATGCTGCTGCGACTGACTTACCAGCCGATTCAAAGATTGCAGATGCGTAAAATAAAATCCCTTGTGTCCCACCAAATCCTCCTAGGGCCATAAGTCCAAGGTTACCTAAAAAAAGTTAAATTAAGATCTTACTGTATATTATGTAGTACAAGAAACTGAAATTCATCATATAGGAAATTACTACACCGAAAATATTATTTTGCTAATTTATGGGGTTTACAGTAAGTGGATAAGCATATTTCATCTGGAACACATCCAAGAATTTATCTGAGATGTTTTCAACAGTTTCCGTGTATTCCTGTAAGACAATTAAACAGGTCTTAGGTTCACCAACTAATAGTATGATAATTTCACTTAGCATACTAAGGCCAGTGGCCTACATATTACTTTGATATCAGCTGCTTCTTCAGATATATCAGTGTGTTGTCCCCTAATACGTTTCAAAGCTGCTTCAAAATCATCTACAGAACTGGCTGTCACCTGCAAATCATGGATTTAACATCATCCGAGACATTATTACTTCATTTTGCTGTCTTATAGTTCGGTTGTCTGTCAGGAAGTATTGTCACATGAACTATTTTAGGATTTTTGAATTAAGTTGTTACATTTCCTAAGATACTAATGATTTGTAATCAACTTTCTCCAACTATCCTTTTATGAAGGGTGTTGTGTAAAATTGTGTCATATCCTCAACAAGGTATGGTTACGTGAGAAATTATATAGGACAAGGGTATCTTTGTGTTCTGTTTTTCTTCTTTCAGTCTTTATAACATCCTAAGGAAATCTTGGTTTTAACTTACCAACCACCTAGGAGACTCTGGAATGAAGAATATTCCCAAAAACTGTATCATGCATGGAATGGTACCTAAAAAATGTTGTTAAACCAAATTATTTTTGCGAGCCTAAAATGGCTATATACATAAGAAGTACGTATGGTTTAGTATGAAAATTAAAATGATTACCAATCTTCTATCAAAATTAAAAAATGATTACCCATCAAAGCTAAGCTGCGCCAGCTAATTATAAGCCCAACAAGGAAAGCCGCCGCTATTCCACAGCACATCAGGAACTGCATAGTACAGGGATAAAGTGCAAGGTCAAACAATCCTAGAACTTATATAGAATACACTTCGAGTATCTCTAAAATATGAGTTACCTGATGGAGAAGCCCTAATCCCCTCGAATATTCTTTGGTGCTATTTCTGCTACGTATACAGGAATCTGTATCACAAGCAATTACTGTTATTGATATTTTGTTACTTATTTTTTCTTGTAGGAAAAGATTTTAAGCAGAAAGAAGAAATTACTGTGTAAGTCATGATCCCATTAGCAAAACCAAGAGCTAGTCTACCAATATAAAGGGACATTGAATCCTGTCACGATAGATACCACAAGGTAAAGAAAAAATGATAAGATTGATAACTGATAAGATAGTGTACTCGAAGTATTGACCAAAAAGCAAAATTTGAATATAACATGATTAAAACCTGTGAATATGCTATAGAAAGCCAACCAGCAAGGCAGAGTATACTTGAAAGCCCCATAGCCTGCATCAAAATAGCAGAATTGATGGAAACAATGCAACAATCAGCAAGAAAGTTGAACTATAATCATGCACTTCGACTCTTATGAGTACTTGGCCATCAAACTAGGAGGAATAAAGCAAAACTTACTCCACGCCGACCAGTTAAATCAGTTAGTTTTCCACATACTGTTGCACCTAAAAGTCCTCCGGCTGTCAAAAGTGATCCGAAGAGTGAATACTGCAAAATGCACACCAAGTAGAACCAATATATACTCATTTGATCAAATGAGTTATGGAAACTTTTATTCGAGATGGCAAGCAATTAGGCCAATTTGCATCAAGTTTTGTCTTGGCTGTTATCATAATGTTGAAAATTAATTTCTTTAAATTTAAGATATGTCTTGAAAGAAAGGTGTCAAGTGGCTCATAATTTGACAAAATCTTTAGATTGATCGGAGGTACAAATAATTTCAAACGATATCATCTACATATTGGTTCCAAAAAACCTCATATGATGTATGTCATTTCAAGGTTTTTGCATCTTATTGTTCTTATGACTTTGTTCTATTTCCAGCACTTAAATTTTCATTCAATTTTGGCAACTCGTTTTACTACATTACTCCTCTTACCACCCTCCGTCCCCCAAGGCCTTAGGGGCGTTCTAAATCAATAACTACTCTTGTCATTAATGACAATAACAAGTATCCATTGGTATTTGTAGATCTCATGTTAATTGGTATAAACATTGTCTTGATCCACATTTTTCTTACACTTTTTTTCCTTACACTCACCATCTAATCAACCACTAACCTACCCTCTTCGTCCACAAATAACCTTCATGCTAAATTTGGACATGCATATAATAAAAATTAGGGTGGGGCGTGTGAAATAATGTGAGGAAAAATAATAGTGTAGAGATCCACATCACATGGTTTTTGTGTAAAATTCCGTCATAAGTAACAAAAAGATTTTTTTATGGACATCCTAAAATAAAATACAGAATGATTATTCGTGGACAGAAGGAGTGTTTTCTTAATCTTTGTGCTTTTTTTAAGGAAAAGTCTTTGTGCTCTTTAGTTTGTTATGAATAGCACTACCTCCATCCAAAAAAAAAAAAAACGTTCAGGGAATATAACATATCGACAATTCATAACCGTAATCAAATATGACGCACACCCAAACTTTAAAGCAGATTAATTGTGTACGGAGAGAGTATCATAATTCGATGATTTCGATCCCAAACAGAGATTAAATATCAGAAAGGGTAAAAGTAGATGACATAGACAACGAAGAACTAACCTCTGCTGTAGAAAGGTGCAAGTCTTTGATGATTGCAAAGTGAACGGGAGAGGAATATCCTCCCTACACCAACAACAAATTGCATGCTAGATTAGCTCACACATTAGAGATTAATGCATCAACTAAACACATTTACACAATACCTAATTTGATTTACATATTTAATAATGCAACATAAACACGGATTTCCAATTTAGTGCTACATTTTAATTAAACACATACTAATTATACTAATTATTAATAAATGAAATTGACATAAAACCTTAAAAAAAAAAAAAAAAAAAAGTCGGTCGATTATGTTGTTGCATTTGCATGATACTTTTAATAACCCACATCATCTCATGACATCAAAATCTAAAATTCGACATCAAATATAAGTTAAACA